CAGCGCCACGCGGCCAACGCGCGCGAGCGGGCGCGGATGCGCGTGCTGAGCAAGGCGTTCTCGCGCCTCAAGACCAGCCTGCCCTGGGTGCCCCCGGACACCAAGCTCTCCAAGCTGGACACGCTCCGCCTGGCCTCCAGCTACATCGCCCACCTGCGGCAGCTGCTCCAAGAAGACCGCTACGAGAAGGGCTACGTCCATCCCGTCAACCTGGTAAGCGAGGCTGGGCCCAGGGATCGGGGCGGGGGGGTTTCAGAACCAGGCGTGGGGCTGGGGCCTTCGCCGTCGGTTTAGAGGCAGGGGAGGGGCCGAGAGAGCCTCTGAGCATGGGCAAAGTGGCTTTCTCGCATCCCACGATGACAGCAGCTGTAGCTCTGGAGAAGGGTGCAAAGGTTACCGCAAGGACGGAGGAAGGCCATGGGTGTAGGTTGGCACCTTGTGGCTCTTGACTTTGAAACCGAGGCTTAGGAAATAGTCCCTGACACGTGGTGCTTGCTTTTTGAAAACCAGATTTTGGCCAGAATCCTGTTGGTTAGTCATGCCAGCCTTGAGTGCACTGGTGTCAATTGCACTGGCCCATTCCCACTAATTAAAAAGTGGCTGCGCTTGTGCACCTCATGGCATGCCACCTCTCCTGACTGACAGGCAGTGCAAGGATCATGTGCGCTTCCCTTGACATAATGTATCAGTAGGATTCTGGCCACCAGTTGCTTATATTTATATCAGCACGTTCAATCTGGCATCCACAGATGTCTTGTCCTCTCCTTTATTCTTCTATCAGTCCTTTGAGGTAGATCAGGCTGAGCCCGTATGAGTACCTCAGGGTAATGCAGTGATTTTCCATGGCATTTAAAAACAACAACAAATCTGGTTGTTTTGTAAAATGAAGCAGATGAATTCTTGATGATTTACTAGCCTAAGTATAAATAGATAAGTTATTCTTCCTCTCTCTTGAGCCTCTCGTTTTGTGATTTTATATGAATATATGAACATTGGTCATGCAGAGAAAAAGAAGAATGTGCATCGGCATTACACCTGACATAGGACTTGTATTGCACACAGAAATGGTGAAAAAAGCTTTACTACCCTAAGTTGCACTTATCAAAAGTTGATTCAAACAGAGCTCAGGAAAGTTGTATTTTGGACTACAGTTTGTAGAATCTATCTACCTGTGGCTTTTCCTTAATCATCCTTCATAGTGCATTTGCCATTTACTGAAGTGCTGGTTTCCATGAGATTTCTACTAGGACCCAAGATCTGTGATTCTCTGCTGGTTCCCACAAGTGGTTAAGTATCACCTCCAAAGACAGTCACAACTCTACGGTGCCTCTCCAGTCTGCATTCTATGGTTTAATGATGTGGGGATTGTTGATACATGTTCTGGCCAAACTGAATGCTTGTTTTCTTGAGAAAGTCCTGTTTCAGGCCAAATATCCCCAGTACTGTTAAAGTCATTGGGAAATAGCTACCAAGAGCAAGTAGTTCATGGCCTCACCTATGTGTCTCCATTTTCAATGAAACAATAGTTTAACATGTTCAAAGGAGCATTTCTTCATCTGTTCAGCATAGATGTATATGCATAGGCATATTTGCATATACATGAGCAGTACATGCAGAAGGCTATGCTTATATATTTATCTTTTTTTGATTGGAGTAATTTGTCTGCCATCTATGGACACTAGTGATGACCATTGGCTATGTTTTATACATTTAATCAACCCAAGGACAAGTATGATGACAGGACTGAAGAGTTTGATGGACTAATTTGAAATCTTAATATCTCTTGATATTGGCTTGACTCACTAATTGTACAATACATTCATAAAAGTCAATTTTTAAAATAACCATCTTGGAAGTTCTATGACCTACAGCCACTGTAGTAGTAAAGACATTCCTTGATTGCCTCTTTTAAGATCGTACTTGCGATGTGCACAGTGCATGTTTCATAAACTCTTCATATGCATGCTTGGATGATAAATGTTCTTAAGGTTCCTGGCTGAATACTTTAAAATATACATTCCAGCCTATGTAACTGCAAGAGTGTTAGGATTCAGGCAATTGATACAAGGAAGTCAGCGTTTATAGTGCACCTGTTATAACCCAAAGAGATATGGAGATAAGAGGTGGAAGCCACAAGAAGTCTGAAAACATTTCAAATAGAAATAAACATAACAACTAAATAAATAATAGATCAAAGAGCACAATAATATTTCTTGAATTATCTACAGTGGAATGCAGAACTTGCATCCTCTGCTGAGCAGGTTATAAGCCTGTGGTTCAGGCTTTTTGAAAATTCCTAGCCAAAATGCCATTAATTTACAGCAAACATTTACTTTAAACTTTTTTGAGCACTGGGAGGATTTGAGGAAAACTCTGTGCATGCCACCTAAACATTTGCTACAGCAAATACTCTCCTGGATCTTTTTCTGATTATTTCAGAAAACAAAGAAGTAACCACTTCTCACTTATACTCTCTCAGATTGTGGTCCATTAGTTTCTAATAAGGAATATAAGGTCGCCATTGATGGTGTCGAGCAGCAGTTTCCAAACTACGGCCTGGCTTACCTTTTTATCTATCCTGCCTTACCTTTTTATCTAGCCCGGTGAATGACACAGGCTCAACAAACTACGGCCCATGGGCCATATCCAGCCTGCCTTACCTTTTTATCCAGCCTGGTGAATGTCACAAGCTCAGGCAGGCTCAGGTCCATTCCCTTCAGCCTGTGCTTGTGTGGGGATGTGTGCACGGGTGTGTGCATGAGGGAGGGTGGGAATACATATGCACATGTTCCTTTGAAAATGTGGGACATATATGATGTGGCCCTCATGCTGAAAAATTTGGAGACCCCTGGTGTAGAGGGAGAACACTGTGTTTCAAATTCTTACCACATTAGAGAAGTTTACTGCAATTCAGCTGTATTATATTTCATTTTAAATACATTTTCATGCATCCACTTTTGCACTTGTCTTGTAAGATATGTTGGGAAATGATGGTAGATGTTCATGTTTCAATTCTTCTTTCTAACATGGAATGCTATTTCCATTTACAGACCTGGCCATTTGTAGTTTCAGGAAGACCAGAATCAGACCCCAAAGAAGTTGCAGCTGCTAACAGATTATGTGGAACTACAGCATAATTAAAGTAAGCAATACTTCTGCTGGATATGCCTACAAACCACACTGACTTCTATGGACCAAAGGAAACAGAAGCACAGAAAAATCAACTCTGTTAAATTTTAAAACTGACTTGTTCATTTTGAAGGAAAATGTACTTGAAACATAAAATGGAGGAGGGAAAATGTCCACAGAACTTGTTGCTGCAGCTAAAGCAGTGTCTTCAAAATGCCTTCCCTGGATCATTATTTAAAGAACTTTTCTTAAGTGTTTTGAAGATGGAGCAAGGTGTAGATTGTACAAGCTGATCTCAGACAGGGTTAACCTGTGTGTCAAAGGAAAGTGGCATGCTAGACTAGTCTTTAAACGCAAATTTTATAATATATTTGAACTTCTGTTCTTGGCAGCTATACAATAATAAGACTACTTCTGTCATTTTAGCCAATATTGTAAAAACTGAAGATGAGATCTGATAATATCTGGTCATTTCCTTCATTGCCTGTTCCACAAGTGCATTAAATTTAATTATCTAGATTTAAGCCAAGCTCAAACATTGATGCTGGAGCTAAATTTGAGTTAGATGAAAATGCTAGGCATTAAATGTGGCATGGATTGAAGTCATAGGGAAATTATTGTTGGGCTGGGGCAGTTAGTCATATTTTTGTAATGAAGATGTAGTAGAGAGAAATTTTATTGGGTGCATTGCATTCTGCGCAGATATGTGATTTTATCGTAACCTGAAACAGGAAGCCTGTTTAATTGAAACTGGGGAAGGTATGTTTTGGTAAAGGTGGCATTTGACTATGGAGTAAAAGACTGAAAACATTCCAAGTCAACATTTCCTACCATTAGACCTTTTGCTGATATGGAACGTTAGCATTTGTAGTGTTCTTTTTGCAAGTGGTACCACTATCAGTATTTCAAATGTAAATATAGCTCTATTTTTATATATTATATTAAAAACATTGCAAAGATACTGTGAGTAATGGTTTGAAAGCATGCAATTGGTAAAAACAAACACTATAATTTGATGCAGTCTTTAGTGGTGAGAGGATCTTAAAACAGCTTCTTAGAGTATTTTAGACTGAGGACTGTATGTTTTCAGATATAATGGAGATGTAGAACAGCTCGATCCAGATTAATCTTGCTTAGAGGAGACTTGCTGAAATAAGTGACATTTTAGTCAAGATTAATATCCTTTCCATTTTAATGGGTCTACTCTATGCATGGCTAAATCTGGATGCAACTCATTGCAGTATGGAGCTGTGGCAGTAATAAAGGCATAGTAACAAGAGAGAAATCTTAGTAGTAAGCCTAACAAGTAACTCTTGTAGGTGGAGAAATATAACAAGACCTGAGGAGAAAGAATAGACCTTAAATCTTAAACGGTACCCTCCAGAGTCTCCAGGAGATACAGTTGGCCATATTTATGCCATTTTTTTTTCTAACTGGGGGGATTGTAAGGCAAATCTAATGTTTTGAAAAAAGTGAAGGCCCTTAAATGCCTGTTAGAAGTTAATACTTGATGATAAAAATATATTCAGTACTGATGCTGGATAAGACTTTTTAGATGGGATTTGTAAATGGTTTGCTACACCACAGAAATTTCCTTCTTCTGTATCCTGTTTTTTTCTCACTTGACAAAGGTGCTGAGAAGTCAATCAGAAAATGCTAAATCAGTGAATCAAGCATTGTCTCGCATAGGTTTACTGTAAGAAAGGGTAGTGTGGTTGTCCAGATTATATTGGCCTGTAATTTCCATCATCCATCACCTGCTGGCTAGGGCTGATGTGCAGTCCAGCAACACCTTGGAGAACTACAGATTCCTCATCCATGAAAGAAAGAGTTTGTTTGCTTGTTTTTCAAAAGGACATGTAGTAAAAGTTTGTGGGATTTGATTTCTGTCACATCAGCAGAAACTCTGTTGAAGTTGAGCAGTACAGCATCTATTAGTTCACTTGCAAATAGAGCAGCTTTAAGACTAACAAATATTTTAAACATGAACTTTTATGGCTTTCTCAGGTACAGGCATAATACTCAGGCTCATTTTTTTAAAAGCATCCTATATTGCACTAATTACATTTAAAGCCATGCATGGTAGAAGGGACGTGGTGGCGCTGTGGGCTAAACCGCAGAAGCCTGTGCTGCAGGCTCAGAAGACCAGCAGTTGTAAGATCAAATCCACATCACGGAGTGATCGGCCTTCGCTTGTCCCAGCTCCCACCAACCTAGCGGTTCGAAAGAATGCAAATGCAAGTAGATAAATAGGGACCACCTCGGTGGGAAGGTAACAGCGTTCCGTGTCTAAGTCGCACTGGCCACGTGACCACGGAAGATTGTCTTCGGACAAACGCTGGCTCTATGGCTTGGAAATGAGGATGAGCACAGCCCCCTAGAGTCGAACATGACTGGACAAAAATGGTCAAGGGGAACCTTTACCTTTACCTATGGTAGCCTTATATACATGTCGTGCAAATATTATAAACTAGGGTTGTGAATGACTTCCCCTGTTTGGTTTGGAGCCAGATCTGGGCTTTGAAATGGATCCTGATTCAACCTGGAGTGGTTAGTACCCCATGCAATTTGATTTGTGCCTTCAATCTGGGTCAATTTTTGAGTTTCCAAGTGCCTTGCACTGGAAAACCAACATGGTTGTAAGTATTTCATTTTTGCACTGAAGTACATGATACATAATGGAAATAAGCCTGCCAAATTTCATAAAGGGTTTGAATATTTTAAAGTTTGCTTTTATGGAAAAAAGATTTGGAAGGCCAAAGTAATTCATTCCTTGCCCGATTTAGTTTGTGTGCTAGATAGAAATCTAATTAAAATTCACATCACTTCATCCTGTAATGCAATCCGGCTATTTTGTTTCAATCTAGGTTTCACACAAACTTCTCCACACCAGGCCAGTTTGGTTAGCAATTCAAGCTTCAGCTGAATTCAGTGCATAGCCCTGTTGCACAACATTCCTATGGGAAAACAGTATTGTGTACTCTCCAAATTATGTGATCTCAAGACATTTTCAACTTTCAAACGTTTTCTAGACATGGGTTTTTCAGAAGTGATGTACCATTCCCTTTTTCTGGGGAAACTCTAGGACTGTGCTGCTTGCCCAAGGCTACCCAGTCTGTGCTGTCTAGCTAGCTAATCTACAAAACCAAACACATGCTAAAATAAAACTTGCCAGTCTTAAAGGTGTCACAAGACTCTTTGTTATTCAGGTCATATAATGGTTCTCTGTTTGGCCTCCTGCAGCAAAAGAATCAGAAATACAGTACAGTTTTCTTTAAGTTCTGCTATTTCAAACTTTTAAAAAAAAACAAAGCAGAGAAGTGCGCACAACAATTCACTTAGGTGTTTTATGATAAGCTTATTTGTGCGCCTTGGCCATTCCCTGGATCTGAGCCCAGCTGCAATTGGTTAATGACCCTAAGAGACTGGAAAAGCAAGGGAAAGAATGGAATTGTTTAAGTGGTCTGCAGTAGAATGAGTGGAAAAGATTATGAAGCACTTAGCAGGGTTAGATGGAGGGGAGGAGAAAACATGAGAATCAATTGCAGAGCGCTTTAAAAAAAACATAATGGCCCTATATGGAACAATCAAATTAATATTATTTGTGTTGGTGGAAATGTATAATCCACTTGGGTTCTCCATCTGACATCGCTCTCCAAAGCAGAGAAAGGGAATCTTTGGCCCTATAGAAGTTTTAGACTACTGTTCAAACAATGGCTATGGTGGGTAGCTCTCAATGGGAGTTGTCGTTGAAAACAGCTGGAGAAATAGAGGTTCCCCACCCCTACCATAAGGAGCTGTGCTTTATTTGAAATGGCTGCCAAAGACACTTGTCACAGTTTTGGATCGCATATGCTCTGTGAGCCTCCAAGGAGTTTCCTCACATGTTGCCAAAGGTGGTGTTGGTGGGGAACTTTCCACCAAAAGCAAGGCTCCAGAGGAGCACATGAAGTCTCTGAGGGAGGGTTAGAAGGCTCCCCACAACAATCAAAACTATCAGTAGAGGTCTGCTGACATTCAGTTTTCGTTTGCCACTTTTGGTTATTTTCAGGCCTAGTGTGGCAGCCTGTAGGTGCTAGAGGTAAAATATTGTCTCTTTGGGCTGTGTAAAACACATCCCTCTCCTGCTCTAGATGGAAGGATTGTAGAATCTGTGGCATAATATGGCAGATGTTCCCATGCATCACCTTCTTAATTTTCTCCAGTGTAGGATTGGGGAATGAGGTGCCTTATGTATGTCTAATAGAGCCAGGCATACAAATCCTCTTTCCACCTATTTAATGACATAAAGTGGCTGCAGTTTCAGATGCTATGATATCCAGTGCACGGTGTACTGCAAGGATGGGAATGCTTGGCCCTCCGGATGTTGTTGGACTGTCACTTGCATCATCCCTCATGACTGACTGTGCTGAGTAGGAGTTGCAGTGTGACAACAGCTGGAAAGTCACATGTCCCCCACCCCTGCTATAATAGGTTATGCACCCCACACGATTCATGTAAGCATTAATGTCCTAGTGGCATATAAAAAGTACAATCCTGCACATATTTACTGAAAGGTAAGTTTAACAGGATTTATTCCTTAGGATTGCACCCCTAGTATGGTATGGGAATGCAATGGACAATCTGTACACATATCTGACTATTCATAGGTCATTTTAATAAGGAGAAGATCTCATAGCTAGTGATTCAGAGTACTCACTGATGTGGATCCTAAGATGATTTGAGAAAGTTCGTGGAAAGAAAGCTCCCTGGGCTTCGTTTCACTACAGATCCCATGCACCCTTTGACAAGTTTCTGAAAGGTTACTTATTCTTTTCAAACATATTGCATCAGGTGTAGGACAGGAGTGGGCAACCTTGGCTGATCCAGGGACCAATTTACTGCCACTGGAATCCTTCAGCAGAATTTGAAGTCGTTATAGAAGCCAACTTGGTATTTTTGGTTGTTAAATGGTATAAGGGGGTGAAGGTTATGATATATTTAAAAGGCGAGTCACTCTCCCGGAGGCTTCTAAGAGCTGCATTTGACTTCTTTTTTTACTGGGGAGTGCTGGGAGTCAAAAGAATTGCCGTGGGGGCCACATGCTTCCCAAGGGTTGCATTTTTGACCACCCCCTAGTTTAAGAGATTTCAAAGGTGGGAACAATTCCCAGAAATCAAGCTTTGAACCTAAGATAGATTAACTTTAAAAAGTTTACAAGAAGATAATTTCTTGACTTCTCTCCCCTAACTAGCTCTCATTTCCACATCCCACTTTGCTCAGGCCCACCTGCCCGTGGAGGGGCTTTTTCAGGGTCTGCAAATGGCTGTTGGACACAGTAGAAGATTTGAAGCTTCCTGCTATGCACTCAAGTTGGCTTGAGTTAATTCTCAATTGTTTTGGGAATGTTATATCAGAAGTCTTTCTACAAGAGATACATTGGTACTAGCATATAGGAATAGTTTGTGGGCCAAATAATGGGGGGAATACCCAAAATCTAGGTAGTGGGGTGCCCCCTCCCTGTTACAGTAATTAGCTGCCTATGCAAGCACATGTGCTTTTGGGCTGCAGCTTACAAGATTTGACACATGCTCTAAAACATGCATGGCTTTAAAAAATATTCCAAATGGAAATGCCAGTAAAATCATCTTGAGTATGCATAAACATTTTTATAAGATCCAAGCACATGTGCTTTTGGGCTGCAGCTTACAAGATTTGACACATGCTCTAAAACATGCATGGCTTTAAAAAAAAAATCCAAAATGGAAATGCCGGTAAAATCATCTTGAGTATGCATAAACATCTTTATAAGATCATATCCTCAGACTCACAGATGAGCAACTGTGGCTTAATCATTACTTTCCCTTTGTAAAATGTGCCTTACCTGAAAGGCTTTTATGAACC